GAAATAAAAGATCCCAGAAATTGTCCATACGGACAAAAAGCTTATTTCTCTAACATGTTTTGCACACATTTCTCATCCCTGTTAGTGAGCATTTCTCCTTTGCCAAGATAATCCATCCACCCTACAGGCGTGGCATATCAAAAAGCTGATTTAAACAACATGATCATTAGACAGGTGCACCTTGTGCTGGGGACAGTAAAAGGCCTCTCTAAAATGTGCAGTTTTGTCACACAACACAATGCCACGAATGTGTCAAGTTTTGAGGTTGTGTGCAATTGGCATGCTGACTGCAGGAATATCCACCAGAGCTCTTGCCAGAGAGTTGAATGTTCATTTCTCTACCAACATCGTTTTAGAGAATTTGGCACTTCGTCCAACTGGGCTCACAACCCAAGACCACGTGTAACCACGCCAGCCCAGGACCTCCACATCTGGTTTCTTCACCTGCTGGATCCTCTGAGACCAGCCACCCGGACAGCTGATGAACTGAGGAGTATTTCTGTCTGTAATAGGGCCCTTTTGTGGGGAAAAACTCATTCTGATTGGCTGGGCCTGGCTCCCCAGTGGGTGGGCATGGCTCACAAGTAAGTGGGCATATGCCCACCCGTGACTGCGCCCCTGCCTAGGCATGTGAAATCCATAGATTAGAGCCTAATTTATTTATTTCAATTGACTGATTTCCTTATATAACCTGTTTTATATTTTTGTTCAGTGTATAGTTTGTTTGTTGTTAGGAAATGGGGAAACTATTTTCTGCATAGTTCTAGACTAGTTTTAATAAATAAAACTGCATTGCATCATGCTCCCCTTTAATTTTGGTACCTTGCACAGCAGTTTTAATTTAATGTGAAAACACGTTCCTTTTCTTATTCCCCAAAGTCATCAAAAGTTATTTTAATTCCTCTCTCCATTTGATAACTAGGCAAATGCATTTCAAGTGCTCATAGTGGACCAATATCTATCTATATGATCAAACATAGTAGGATATGGATTTCTGACAGTAGCTAGGTGTCCAATTGGTGACCGATTTAATGCGAATATTCTAAAATCCACATAAAAACAATATGCACATTTTCCCACCAGAGAAGTTTCCATCAAAATGACTTGTGGATAAAAGACTGTGCTTGATGACGTAGTGCACATGAAAATAACTTTTGCGGTTAAATTCCCATGTATCGAATAAATTAAAGTTAAATGGGTTTCCATTGCATTGACGAGGACAAGGCTGGAGATCACTCTGTCATGCTGATTGAGTTAGAATAACAGACTGGAAGCTTTTAAAAGGAGGGTGGTGCTTGAAATCATTGTTCTTCCTCTGTTAACCATGGTTACATGCAAGGAAACGTGCCGTCATCATTGCTTTGCACAAAAAGGGCTTCACAGGCAAGGATATTGCTGCTAGTAAGATTGCACCTAAATCAACCATTTATCGGTTGATTTGAAGAAGGCGTCAGGGCGCCCAAGAAAGTCCAGCAAGCGCCAGGACCGTCTCCTAAAGTTGATTCAGCTGCGGGATCGGGGCACCACTAGTGCAGAGCTTGCTCAGGAATGGCAGCAGGCAGGTGTGAGTGCATCTGCACACACAGTGAGGCGAAGGCTTTTGGAGGATGGCCTGGTGTCAAGAAGGGTAGCAAAGAAACCACTTCTCTCCAGGAAAAACATCAGGGATAGGCTGATATTCTGCTAAAGGTACAGGGATTGGACCGCTGAGGACTAGGGTAAAGTCATTTTCTCTGATGAAGCCCCTTTCCGATTGTTTGGGGCATCCGGAAAACACCTTGTCCGGAGAAGACAAGGTGAGCGCTACCATCAGTCCTGTGTCATGCCAACAGTAAAGCATCCTGAGACCATTCATGTGTGGGGTTGCTTCTCAGCCAAGGGAGTGGGCTCACTCACATTTTTGCCTAAGAACACAGCCATGAATAAAGAATGGTACCAATACATCCGCCGAGAGCAACTTCTCCCAACCATCCAAGAACAGTTTGGTGACAACCAATGCCTTTTCCAGCATGATGGAGCACCTTGCCATAAGGCAAAAGTGAACTAAGTGGCTCGGGGAACAAAACATCGACATTTTGGGTCCATGGCCAGGAAACTCCCCAGACCTTAATCCCATTGAGAACTTGTGGTCGATCCTCAAGAGGCGGGTGGACAAACAAAAACGCACAAATTCTGACAAACTCCAAGCATTGATTATGCAAGAATGAGCTGCCATCAGTCAGGATGTGGCCCAGAAGTTAATTGACAGCATGCCAGGGTGGATTGCAGAGGTCTTGAAAAAGAAGGGTCAACACTGCAAATATTGACTCTTTGCATATATGTAATGTAATTGTCAATAAAAGCCTTTGACACTTATGGAATGCTTGTAATTATACTTCAGTATACCATAGTAACATCTGACAAAAATATCTCATAACACTGAAGCAGCAAACTTTGTGAAGACCAATACTTGTGTCATTCTCTCAACTTTTGACCACAACTGTACTCTGAAGCTCTGCTGTGTCCAGATATTTGAGTGTTCAAAAGACACTTTTGTGGTTTCTGTCACTGACATCCACCCAGAGGGGTTATACGATTGGTAGAATCATTTTGAAAGTTGCATAAACACAGGCAAAAAAAAAAAGCCATGGCCTTTAATATGGAAGCATTTGTGGAAAACACTACATGAGAGATGGTAGATAATGTACGAAAGTGAATCTGCTTGGCATTGCAAAGCATTATGACATCCAAGTTGCACATGCCGATGCAAAAGCAGTAGTCAAAGAGTTAGTGTATACTGCTTTAATGGAGGAGGAAATCCTTCCGGAGAGGGAGGATGATGAAAAGGGTTCTATGGGTGGTAGAGAACACCCCATAGATGAGCAACTGCAAGAGGTTGAACTAAAGGCAGAATGGGAACATAAATTAATGCTTGAGCACAAAGAAAGGGAATGAACGTGAGGAGAGATTGGAGCAACAGAAATTAGAGCTTGAGCACAAGGAAAGGGTAAGAGAACGTGCAGCCAGACTAAAACAAGAACAACAAGAATGTGCACATGCCGTTCGATTTAAAAGAGATGGATCTGGAAGTACTCCGAATCAAGTCAGGGCATCCTGCACCCTCAACATAATTTAATCTTGGTCGGAACAGCTGGCTTGTACCGCCTTTTAACGAAAAGGAGGTGGATGTACACTGAACAAAATTATAAACGCAATATACAATTTTCAAAGATTTTACTGAGTTACAGTTCATATAAGGAAATCAGTCAATTTGAAATAAATTCATTAGGCCCTAATCTATGGATTGTACATGACTGGGAACACAAATTTGCATCTGTTGGTCACAGATACCTTTAAAAAAAGATAGGGGCATGGATCAGAAAACCAGTCAGTGTGTGGTGTGACCACCATTTACCTCATACAGGGCAACACTTTGTGGCATGTTGTCCGAATCCTTTTCAATGGCTGTGCAAAGTTGCTGGATATTGGCGGGAACTGGAACACGCCGTCGATCCGGAGCATCCCAAACATGCTCAATGGGTGACATGTCTGGTGAGTATGCAGGCTATGGAAGAACTGAGACATTTTCAGCTTGCAGGAATTGTGTAAAGATCCTTGCGACATGGCACGGTATCTCTGTGCATTCAAATTGCCATGGATAAATGAAATTGTGTTCGTTGTCCGTAGCTTATGCTTTCCCATACTGTAACCCAACCACCACCATGGGGCACTCTGTTCACAATGTTGACATCAGCAAACCGCTCGCCCACACGACGCCATACTTCTGGTTGTGTGGCCAGTTGGACGTACTGCCAAATTCTCTAAAATGACAGAGGCGACTTATGGTAGAGAAATTAACATTTAATTATCTGGCAACATCCCTGCAGCCAATTGAACGCTCCCTCAACTTGAGGCATCTGCGGTATTGTGTTGTGTGACACAACTGCACATTTTAGTGGCCTTTTATTGTCCCCAGCACAAGGTGCACCTGTGTAATGATCATGCTGTTTAGTCAGCTTCTTGATATGCCACATGGATTATCTTGGCAAAGGAGAAATGTTCACTAACGGATGTTCTGTAAACAAATTTGTGCACAGAATTTTGTGCATATGGAAAATTTCTGGGATCTTTTATTTCAGCTCATGAAACTTGGGACCAACACTTTACATGTTGCGTTAATATTTTTGTTCAGTATATATTTTACTCTGAGTGGATTACCACATCCGTAAAATGACCGAGATATTTGATCACTGCTCCTCCAAAGTGTTCTTGTGGGATAAGACCAGCAAGCTCAGGTATGACACTTTTAAAGCTGCTATCCTTTGGGCTAATGAGTTGGTCCCAGAGACATACAGGCAACAGTTCCATAAATTATGAAAGACCGAATCACAAAGCCACGTGTGTGGTTCTTAAGAGTTCAGACTTTTTCTACAGTGCCCAAAGATGAGGATTGGCTGAAAAACGGTTTTTCGTATCCACCAGTTTGTCATTACTGTCGTGAGAAAGGACACATTGTCTCTGTGTCCTAAGTCGAAACAGAAAAATGGGGGAGAGAAAAAGCAGTTTCTTCTTGTGGGAGCACTCCAGCCCATTAAGTCTTTGGTTGAGATTGGTGTATCTCCTAAACAAGATTTTGTTTCAGATTTGTATGAACTCTTTGTTTCAGACGGGTTAGTGTCTCTGCCGAGTGGCAACACTGTGAAGCAGCCGGTGAAGATACTGCAAGACACTGGGCAGCCCTATTCTTCATTTTGTAGGATGTTTTGGCTTTGTCTGACACTTCAGCAACTGGTTACAGTGTGTTAGTACAAGGTGTGGAGATGGGTTGCATGGAAGTTCCTTTTGTATAATGTGGAACTCGAGTCTCTTGTTTCTGGTTCCGTTCATTTTGGGAAATTATTTGGCTGGAGGGAAGGTTGTGTAAAAAACCTGTCGTTTGTAAGGAACCCAGAGTAGAGGAACCTGATGGGCTATCAGAAAAGTACCCTAGAATGTTCCCACCGTGTGCCGTTACAAGTGCTATGTCTAAGAAAGACGCTGGGAGCAAGTCTGGTGTTGAGGAGGATCCTGTTTTAGGTAAACTTCCTGAGTTGACCTCTCCTTTGAAAACCCCAAAGGTGAGCGAGTTGGTAGGACTACTGAAGGAAGAGAGGGTCCCTACAGTTGACACTTCGATGTCTAGGAAGCAGCTGACTGCTGAATAGAGTAAAGATGTTTCTCTCTCCCCTCTTTTTGCTAAGATACGTCCAGAGGAAATTGAGTTATCGCGCCACTTCTGGGCAAGACAATTGGCACAGTTGCACTTCGACAAGAGATACTGAGGTTGGCTCACGATGGTAGTATGGCAGGCCATGTTGGGGTCAACAAGATGTTTGACCGTACCTTGCGTAACTACTTCTGGCCTGAAACAGGATGTTGTGGCTTACTGTAAATTCTGCTGCTTTTGCCAGAGTACGGATCAACCGAATTAAGCTGTACTGGTTGCACCTTTGCAGTCTATTCCTTCTTTTGACAAACCTTTCAGCAGGGTTCTGTTGGTCTGTGTTGGTTCTTTACCATCGTGTGCTGCCACTCTTTTCCCTGAGGCCATTCCACTGAGGAAAATCACGTCTCCCAGTATTCTTAAGTCCCTTGTGAAGTTATTTTCAACGTTTGGACTTCCGCAGATAGTGCAATCGAACCAAGATTCAAATTTCATGTCAATGTCTTCCAGCAAGTGCTACAGCAGTTGGGTGTTACCCATAGTGCCTCTAGTGCCTACCATCCAGAGTTTCAAGGTGGTCTTGAGAGATTTCATCAGACTTTGAAGTCTGTTGAGAGCTTACTGCTTTGAATTTGAGAATGACTGGAAGAAGGGGTCACTCTAGTGCTGTTTGTAGCACTGGAGGTTGTTCAGGAATCTATTTTAGTTAGATTGAGCTTGTTTGGACATCCTGTCAGAGGTCCTTTTGAGCTTGCTGAGAGAGGTTGTTGCAGGGCAAAATAAACACCACAACAAATCTGTTGGAGCACGTTGGCACTTTTCTATACAGATTGCACCGCGCCTGTGGGTTTGCAAGTGAGAATCTGGAGAAGGCGCAAACGAAAATGAAAGTTTGGTACAATCGGAAGGCCCGAAGACGCACTTTCGATGTGGGTGACCAAGTCCTGGTTTTGTTGGCTGTTCTGGGGTCACCGTTGCAAGCTCGCTTTTCAGGCCCTTACCCCATAGTAAAAAATATATAGTAATCTGGATTACATCACCACACCGGAGCGCAGGAAAAAACCCTGGCTGTGTCATGTCAACATGTTGAAACTATACTTTTGGGTGAAGAGGTCTGTGAAAACCGGTAGTGATGTTCTGCCTGTAGCCACTGCTGTCACCGTTGACTATAGTCTTCCTCGAGTACGAGGAAAGCCCAATACAACCTGTGCCGGTTGGTCGGTTGAATAACTCAGATTCTAGAAAACCTTGATGTCATTTTGGCACTTGTCTCCGGAGGAAAAAGGCGACATTGTTTTTAGAATATCAGCGTTTATTCTCAGATGTGCCAACTCCGACAAATGTACTAGAGCATGACATTGACGTTGGGGACACTAGGCACATGCCTAGTGAGTGAATCCTGAAAAGAGAGAGAAACTCCGCAGTGAGGTGGAGTTCATGCTTGAGCACGGCGTCGCACAACATGGCAACAGTCTGTGGAGTTTGCTCTGTATATTAGTACCTAATGCGGCTGGGTCTGCGGTTTTGTTCCGATTTTCGGAAACTCAAGGCCGTTACTAAGTCTGACTCATACCCTTTGCCTAGGGTCAACGATTGTGTGGACCGTGTTGGCGCTGCTAATTACGTTAGCAAGTTCGATCTGCTGAAGGGATATTGTGAGGTCCCCCTAACTGAGTTCGCCAAAGAGTTGTCTGCTTTTGTCTCTCCTGGTGGTTTGTTTTCCTGTCTTAATCTCCCGTTTGGGTCTTTAAATGCTAAGACCCTTTTGGTCTCTGCACCGGTGCTAGCTGCTCCCGATTTCCGTCGTCCATTTGCTTTGTACACCGATGCCAGCGATGTAGGAGCAGGGGCTGTGCTCCTACAGAAAGACAATATGAATGTTGAGCACCCTGTGGGGTACTTTTCAAATACATTTGCCTCATCAACAACAATACTCGACTATCGAGAAGGAGATGCTCGCTTTGGTACTGGCTCTTCAGCACTTCAAAGTTTATGTATCGGGTCTCTACCCCTATGGTGGTCTATACCGATCATAAACCTCTCATTTCCTGCAAAAGAAGAGTTCCACGAATCGCAGACTCCTTTGCTGGAGTCTCATATTGCAGGAGTTTCCCCTTGAAATCAGACATGTCCGTGGTAAGGACAACTTGGTTGCTGATTTGTCTTTCAAGAGTGGGCAGTCAATAAGTTTGATGTTTTGCGTTTAGCCCACAGGAGGTTGGTGGCACCTTAATTGGGGAGAACGGGCTCGTGGTAATGGCTGGAGCGGAATGAGTGGAATGGTATCAAATACATCAAACATTTACATTTACATTTTAGTCATTTGGCAGACGCTCTTATCCAGAGCGACTTAGTTAGTGAGTGCATAATTTATTTTATTTTTTCATACTGTTTTCCATGTGTTTGATGCCATTCCATTTGCTCCATTCCAGCCATTATTATGAGTCACCCTCCCCTCAGCAGCCTCCACTGGTTTAGCCAGTGTGTAGCCCTGGCACACATTTCATTTTGACTGCACGTTTTGCTTTATTGGAGATTAGTTTCGTTTTGGTTTGGCTCATTCCAAGGGAATGAGAGTTATAGAAACGTACGCGATCTTCAGAGTTTTAGGCAGCTATAGAAAGAGAATGGAAGTACTATTATTAAAAGTGTGTATATGCTGTATATTACCCCCCGGAAAAGTGGTTGTTTGGTCTTGTATGAGAGACCGCCAGTGTTTTATATCGGTTTATATTGGAGAAGGCGACGCATTGAATTAGTGCTGCATTTTGGTTGATCATGTTTTGATATTAAAGTTGTTTTCTGTTGCTTGTGAGCAAACTTTTATTGGCATATTTGTTGTCTTAATGGAAAAGTTATTACAGGCTTAGGTTTTTCCTTTATATTTCGAGGTTGGACGTTAGCGCGTCCAAGCTGATCTTCCTCCCTGTTTTTGTTTTGCTTTACTTTTTGGTTTGCTTTGTGTCTTCAAGTTTGGTGTAGGTATTCATTTAGTGGGTGCTCTTGGTGGGTGTCTTTTAGGTCCCAGTTGTTGTTTCTAGTCAATTCAGTAGACACCCCCATGAGTGTTTTTCAGAACCCCTCTTAGAACCCCACCGGTTTGGTTCTGGTTCTTATTGTTAGTGACTCTTTGTTAGTAACCCATTTTGTTTGGGAGTCAATTTTTGGTTCCTTGCTGGGGAACGTAACGCCTACACACAATACCCCATAATGTCAAAGTGGAATTATGTTTTTAGACATTTTTACAAATTAATTAAAAATGAAAAGCTGAACTATCTAGACTCTAGGTGTTCAACCCCTTTGTTATGGCAAGCCTAAATAAGTTCAGGAGTAAAAATATGCTTAACTAGTCACATAAGCATGGACTCACTCTGTGTGCAATTATGTTAAACATGATTTAGAATGACTACCTCCTCTCTGTACCCCACAGATACAATTCTCTGTAAGGTCCCTCAGTCGAGCAGTGAATTTCAAACACAGATTCAACTACAAAGACCAGGGAGGTTTTTCAATACCTCGCAAAGGACGACACCTGTTGGCATATAGGTAAAAATAACATTGAATATCCCTTCGAGCATGGTGAAGTTATTAATTACACTTTAGATGGTGTATCAATACACCCAGTCACTACAAAGATACAGGCGTCCTTCCTAACTCAGTTGCCGGAAAGGAAGGAAACGGCTCAGGGATTTCACAATGAAGCCAGTGGTGACTTTTAAAACAGAGATTAATGACTGTGATAAGAGAGAACTGAGGATGGATCAACAACATTGTAGTTACTCCAAAATACTAACCTACACTGAACAAAAATATAAACGCAACATGTAAAGTGTTGGTCCTATGTTTCATGAGCTGAAATAAAAGATCACAGAAATGTTTCATACTTACAAAACGCTTTTCTCTCAAATCTTGTGCACTAATTTGTTTACATCTCTGTTAGTGTTAGCATTTCTCCTTTGCCAAGATAATCCATCCACCTGACAGGTGTGGCATATCAAGAAGCTGATTAAACAGCATGATCATTATACAGGTGCACCTTGTGCTGGGGACAATAAAAGGCCACTCTAAAATGTGCAGTTTTGTCACACAACACAATGCCACAGATGTCTCAAGTTTTGAGGGAGCGTGCGATTGGCATGCTGACTGCAGGAATGTCCACCAGAGCTGTTGTCAGAGAATTTAATGTTAATTTCTCTACCAATGTCGTTTTAGAGAATTTGGCAGTACGTCATACCGGCCTCACAACCGCAGACCACGTGTAACGATGCCAGCCCAGGTCCTCCACATCCGGCTTCTTCGATGGCCACTGGCACGCTGGAGAAGTGTGCTCTTCACGGATGAATCCCAGTTTCAACTGTACCGGGCAGATGGCAGACGTGTGGGCGAGCGGTTTGCTGATGTCAACATTGTGAACAGAGTGCCCCATGGTGGCGGTGGGGTTATGGTATGGGCAGGCATAAGCTATGGACAACTAACATAATTGCATTTTATCGATGGAAATTTGAATGCACAGAGAAACGATGACGAGATAATGGCGCCGGAGGGGATGGCTGCCGTTTTATGGACTCTTAACCAACCGTGCTATTTTGTGTGTTTTTCGCATTGTTTGTAACTTATTTTGTACATAATGTTGCTGATACCATCTCTTATGACTGAAAAGAGCTTCTGGACATCAGAACAGCGATTACTCACCTTGAACTGGATGAATAATTTTTCATTAATGAGTCGGACAAGAGGGATTTGCTCCAGACATCCGACAGGGCCCTCATCCCCATCATTCACAGTAGAAAGAAAAGGAGATGTCGCGGAAGGAGATTGGGGTTCTTGTTAAGGAGCCGGTGACAAGTGGCTAATCTGCCTTTGCCATCGATACTATTGGCCAATTTACAATCGCTTGATAATGAAGTGGACGGACTACAGGCACATATCCTACCAACGGAACATTAAAAACTGTAATATCTTATGTTTCACCGAGTCGTGGCTGAACGAAGCCTTGAATAACATACAGCTGGCGGGTTATACACTGTATCTGCAGGATAGAACAGCAGCTTCTTCTAAGACGAGGGGTGGCAGTCTATAAACAACAGCTGGTGCACGATATCTAAGGAAGTCTCAAGGTTTTGCTCGCTTGAGGTAGAGTATCTCATGATAAGCTGTAGACCACACTATCTACCAAGAGTTTTCATCTATATTCTTCATAGCTGTCTATTTACCGCCACAAACTGATGCTGGCACTAAGACCGCACTCAATGAACTGTATACGGCCATAAGCAAACAGGAAAACGCTCATCCAGAGGCGCCGCTCCTAGTGGCCGGGGACTTTAATGCAGGGAAACTTAAATCCGTTTTACCTCCTTTCTACCAGCATGTTAAATGTGCAACCAGAGGGGAAAAAAACTCTAGACCACCTTTACTCCACACACAGAGACGCGTACAAAGCTCTCCATCGCCATCCATTTGGAAAATCTAACCATAATTCTATCCTTCTGATTCCTGCTTACAAGGAAAAAATAAAGCAGGAAGCACCAGTGACTCTGTAAATTCAAAAATGGTCAGATGAAGCAGATGCTAAGCTACAGGACTGTTTTGCTAGCACAGACTGGAATATGTTCCGGGATTCTTCCGATGGCATTGAGGAGTACACCACATCAGTCACTGGCTTCATCAATAAGTGCATCGATGACGTCGTCCCCACAGTGACTGTACGTACATACCCCAACCAGAAGCCATGGATTACAGGCAACATCCTCACTGAGCTTAAAGGTAGAGCTGCCGCTTTCAAGGAGCGGGACTCTAACCTGGTATGCCTAAATCCCGCTATGCCCTCCGACGAACCATCAAACAGGCAAAGCATCAATACAGGACTAAGATCGAATTGTACTACACCGGTTCCGACGCTCGTTGGATGTGGCAGGGCCTGCAAACTATTACAGACTACAAAGGGAAGCACAGCCGCGAGCTGCCCAGTGACGCAAGCCTACCAGACGAGCTAAATTACTTCTATGCTCGCTTCGAGGCAAGTAACACTGAAACATGCATGAGAGCATCAGCTGTTCCGGATGACTGTGTGATCACGCTCTCCGTAGCCGATGTGAGTAAGACCTTTTAAACAGAACAACATTCACAAGGCCGCAGGGCCAGACGGACTACCAGGACATGTACTCCGAGCGTGCACTGACCAACAGGCAAGTGTCTTCACTGACATTTTCAACCCCTCCCTGTCTGAGTCTGTAATACCAACATGTTTCAAGCAGACCACCATAGTCCCTGTGCCCAAGAACACTAAGGTAACCTGCCTAAATGACTACCGACCCGTAGCACTCACGTCTGTAGCCATGAAGTGCTTTGAAAGGCTGGTCATGGCTCACATCAACACCATTATCCCAGAAACCCTAGACCCACTCCAATTTGCATACCGCCCGACAGATCCATAGATGATGCAATCTATGTTGCGCTTCACTCTCTCCTTTCACACCTTTACAAAAGGAACACCTATGTGAGAATGCTACTCATTGACTACAGCTCAGCGTTCAACACCATAGTGCCCTCAAAGCTCATCACTAAGCTAAGGACCCTGGGACTAAACACCTCCCTCTGCAACTGGATCCTGGACTTCCTGACGGGTCGCCCCCAGGTGGTAAGGGTAGGTAACAACACATCCGCCACGCTGGTCCTCAACACGGGTACCCCTCAGGGGTGCATGCTCAGTCTCCTACTGTACTCCCTGTTCACTCATGACTGCATGGCCAGGTACTACTCCAACACCATCATTAAGTTTGCCGATGACACAACAGGGGTAGGCCTGACCACCGACAATGACGAGACAGCCTATAGGGAGGAGGTCAGAGACCTGGCCATGTGGTGCCAGGACAACAACCTCTCCCTCAACGTGATCTAGACAAAGGAGATGATTGTGGACTACAGGAAAAAGAAGGTGACCAAACATGCCCCCATTCTCATCAACGGAGCTGTAGTGGAGCAGGTTGAGAGCTTCAAGTTCCTCGGTGTCCACATCAACAACAAACTAACATGGTCCAAGCACACCAAGACAGTTGTGAAGAGGGCACAACAAAACCTATTCCCCCTAAGGAGACTGAAAAGATTTGGCATGGGTCCTCAGATCCTCAAAAGGTTCTACAGCTGCACCATCGAGAGCATCCTGACTGGTTGCATCACTGCCTGATATGGCAACTGCTTGGCCTCCGACCTCAAGGCACTACAGAGGGTAGTGCGTCCGGCCCAGTACATCACTGGAGCCAAGCTTCTTGCCATCCAGGACCTCTATACCAGGCGGTGTCAGAGGAAGGCCCTAAAAATGGTCAAAGACTCCAGCCACCCTAGTCATAGACTGTTCTCTCTGCTACCGCACGGCAAGCGGTACCGGATCGCCAAGTCTAGGTCCAAGAGGCTTCTAAACAGCTTCTACCCCCAAGCCATAAGACTCCTGAACATCTAATGAAATGGCTACCCCTCTTTTACGCTGCTGCTACTCTGTTTATTATCTATGCATAGTCACTTTAATAACTCTATCTACATGTACACTACCGTTCAAAAGTTTAGGGTCTTTTTTTTTTGTTCACTAAAATAACATCAAATTGATCAGAAATACAGTGTAGACATTGTTAATGTTGTAAATGGTATTGTAGCTGGAAACTGCTGATTAAAAAAAAATTGAATATCTATGTAGGCGTACAGAGGCCCATTATCAGCAACCATCAGTCCTGTGTTCCAATGGCACGTTGTGTTTGCTAATCCAAGTTTATCATTTTAAATGGCTAATTGATCATTAGAAAACCCTTTTGCAATTATGTTAGCACAGCTGAAAACTGTTGTGCTGATTAAAGAAGCAATAAAACTGGCCTTCTTGAGACTAGTTGAGTATCTGGAGCATCAGCAATTGTGGGTTCGATTACAGGCTCAGAATGGCCAGAAACAAATAACTTTCTTCTGAAACTCGTCAGTCTATTCGCAAAACACCAGTCTCAATGTCAACAGTGAAGAGGCGACTCCGGGATGCTGACCTTCTAGGCAGAGTTGCAAAAAAAAGCCATATCTCAGACTGCCCATATTAATCTTTAATTTTTATTGGCCAGTCTGAGATAAGGTTTTTTCTTTGCAACTCTGCCTAGAAGGTCAGCATCCCGGAGTCACCTCTTCACTGTTGACGTTGAGACTGGTGTTTTGCGGGTACTATTTAATGAAGCTGCCAGTTGAGGACCAGTGAGGCGTCTGTTTCTCAAACTAGACACTAATGTATTTGTCCTCTTGCTCAGTTGTGCACCGGGGCCTCCCACTCCTCTTTCTATTCTGGTTAGAGCCAGTTTGCGCTGTTCTGTGAAGGGAGTAGTACACAGCGTTGTACGAGATCTTCAGTTTCTTGGGAATTTCTCGCATGGAATAGCCTTCATTTCTCAGAACAAGAATAGACTGACGAGTTTCAGAAGAAGGTTATTTGTTTCTGGCCATTTTGAGCCTGTAATCAAACCCACAATTGCTGATGCTCCAGATACTCAACTAGTCTCAAGAAGGCCAGTTTTATTGCTGCTTTAATCAGCACAACAGTTTTCAGCTGTGCTAACATAATTGCAAAAGGGTTTTCTAATGATCAATTAGCCTTTTAAAATGATAAACTTGGATTAGCAAACACAACGTGCCATTGGAACACAGGACTGATGGTTGCTGATAATGGGCCTCTGTACGCCTAAGTAGATATTCCATTAAAAATCAGCAGTTTCCAGCTACAACAGCCATTTACAACATTAACAATGTCTACACTGTATTTCTGATCAATTTGATGTTATTTTAATGGACACAAAAATTGCTTTTCTTTCGAAAACAAGGACATTTCTAAGTGACCCCAAACTTTTGAACGGTAGTGTACATATTACCTCGACTAACCGGTGCCCCCTGTATATAGCCTCGCTTTTGTTATTTTTACTGCTACTCATTAATTATTTGTTACTTTTATTTAGTATTTTATATCGTTTCTTTTCTTGGGGGGGGGGGTATTATTTTTTAAGACTGCATTGTTGGTAAAGGGCTTGTAAGTAAGCATGTCACTGTAAGGTCTATGCCTGTTGTATTCAGCTCATTTGACAAATACGATTTGATTTGAGATCCTGAGGCCTGTTGTCGGGCCATTCATCCGCCGCCATCACCTCATGTTTCACCACCATCATTACTCCTGAGTGGCGCAGTGGTCTAAGGCACTGCATCGCAGTGCTAACTGTGCCACTAGAGATCCTGGTTCGAATCCAGGCTCTGTCGCAGCCGGCCGCGACCGGGAGACTCATGGGCGGCGCACAATTGGCCCAGCGTCGTCCAGGGTAGGGGAGGGAATGGCCGGCAGGGATGTAGCTCAGTTGATAGAGCATGGCGTTTGCAACGCCAGGGTTGTGGGTTCGATTCCCACGGGGGGCCAGTATAAAAAAAATATGTATTCACTAACTGTAAGTCGCTCTGGATAAGAGCGTCTGCTAAATGACTAAAATGTAAATGTAAATAATGCACGGGCCAATTTCGCAAGAGTCTGTACACAATTCCTGCAAGCTGAAAATGTCCCAGTTCTTCCATGGCCTGCACACTCACCAGACAATGTCACCCATTGAGCATGTTTGGGATGCTCTGGAGCAACGTGTAGGACAGCGTGTTCCAGGTCCCGCAAATATCCAGCAACTTCGCACAGCCATTGAAGAGGAGTGGGACAACATTCCACAGGCCACAATCAACATCCTGATCAACTCTATGCGAAGGAGATGTCGCGCTGCATGAGGCAAATAGTGGTCACCAGATACTGACTGGTTTTGGTCCCGTGTAGCTCAGTTGATAGAGCATGGCGCTTGCAACGCCAGGGTTGTGGGTTCGTTTCCCACGGGGGGCCAGTATGAAAAATTTATGCACTCACTAACTCTAAGTCGCTCTGGATAAGAGCGTTTGCTAAATGACTAAAATGTTAAATGTTAATGTTTTCTGATCCATGCCCCTACCTTTTTTTTGTATCTGTGACCAACAGATGCATATCTGTATTCCCAGTCATGTGAAATCCGTAGATTAGGGCCGAAGGAATTTATTTCAATTGACTGATGTCCTTATATGAACTGTAACTAAGTAAATTCGTTGAAATTGTTGCATGTTGCGTTTTATATTTTTGTTCAGTGTAAATGACAGTGAAAAGAAGGAAGCCTGTACAAAATAAAACTATAAATCAAATCAATTCTATTTGTAATTTGTCACATACACGTGTTTAGCAGATGTTATTGCGGGTGTAGCGAAATGCTTGTGCTTCTAGCTCCGACAGTGCAGTAATATCTAACAAGTAATGTCTAATTTCACAACTTATACCCAATACACACACATCTAGGTAAGGAATGGAATTTAAGAATATATACGTATATGGACAAGCAATGACCGAGCGGCATGGACTAAGATACAGTATAATATTATAGAACACGGTATATACAGTGGGGGGAAAAAAAGTATTTAGTCAGCCACCAATTGTGCAAGTTCTCCCACTTAAAAAGATGAGAGAGGCCTGTAATTTTCATCATAGGTACACGTCAACTATGACAGACAAATTGAGAATTTTTTTTCCAGAAAATCACATTGTAGGATTTTTAATGAATTTATTTGCAAATTATGGTGGAAAATAAGTATTTGGTCACCTACAAACAAGCAAGATTTCTGGCTCTCACAGACCTGTAACTTCTTCTTTAAGAGGCTCCTCTGTCCTCCACTCGTTACCTGTATTAATGGCACCTGTTTGAACTTGTTATCAGTATAAAAGACACCTGTCCACAACCTCAAACAGTCACACTCCAAACTCCACTATGGCCAAGACCAAAGAGCTGTCAAAGGACACCAGAAACAAAATTGTAGACCTGCACCAGGCTGGGAAGACTGAATCTGCAATAGGTAAGCAGCTTGGTTTGAAGAAATCAATTGTGGGAGCAATTATTAGGAAATGGAAGACATACAAGACCACTGATAATCTCCCTCGATCTGGGGCTCCACGCAAGATCTCACCCCGTGGGGTCAAAATGATCACAAGAATGGTGAGCAAAAATCCCAGAACCACACAGGGGGACCTTGTGAATGACCTGCAGAGAGCTGGGACCAAAGTAACAAAGTCTACCATCAGTAACACACTACGCCGCCAGGGACTCAAATCCTGCAGTGCCAGACGTGTCCCCCTGCTTAAGCCAGTACATGTCCAGGCCCGTCTGAAGTTTGCTAGAGTGCATTTGGATGATCCAGAAGAGGATTGGGAGAATGTCATATGGTCAGATGAAACCAAAATATAACTTTTTGGTAAAAACTCAACTCGTCATGTTTGGAGGACAAAGAATGCTGAGTTGCATCCAAAGAACACCATACCTACTGTGAAGCATGGGGGTGGAAACATCATGCTTTGGGGCTGTTTTTCTGCAAAGGGACCAGGACGACTGATCCGTGTAAAGGAAAGAATGAATGGGGCCATGTATCGTGAGATTTTGAGTGAAAACCTCCTTCCATCAGCAAGGGCATTGAAGATGAAACGTGGCTGGGTCTTTCAGCATGACAATGATCCCAAACACACCACCCGGGCAACGAAGGAGTGGCTTCGTAAGAAGCATTTCAAGGTCCTGGAGTGGCCTAGCCAGTCTCCAGATCTCAACCCCATAGAAAATCTTTGGAGGGAGTTGAAAGTCTGTGTTGCCCAGCGACAGCCCCAAAACATCACTGCTCTAGAGGAGATCTGCATGGAGGAATGGGCCAAAATACCAGCAACAGTGTGTGAAAACCTTGTGAAGACTTACAGAAAACGTTTGACCTGTGTCATTGCCAACAAAGGGTATATAACAAAGTATTGAGAAACTTTTGTTATTGACCAAATACGTATTTTCCACCATAATTTGCAAATAAATTCATTAAAAGTCCTACAATGTGATTTTCTGGATTTTTTTTCCTCATTTTGTCTGTCATAGTTGACGTGTACCTATGATGAAAATTACAGACCTCTCTCATCTTTTTAAGTGGGAGAACATGCACAATTGGTGGCTGACTAAATACTTTTTTTCCCCACTGTACGTATGAGATGGTTAGTGCAAGATATGTAAACGTTATTAAAGTGACTAGTGTTCCATTTCTTAAAGTGGCCAGTGATTCCAATAGGCAGCAGCGCAACCTCTTGTGCTAGTGATGGCTATTTAACAGTCTGATGGCCTTGAGATAGAAGCTGTTTTTCATTTTCTTGGTCCCAGCTTTGATGCACCTGTACTGACCTCGCCTTCTGGATGATAGAGGGGTGAACAGGCAGTGGCTCGTGGTTGATGTCCTTGATGATCTTTTTGGTCTTCCTGTGACCGGGTGTCCTAGAGGGCAGGTAGTTTGCCCCCGGTAATACGTTCGGCAGACCGCACCACCCTCTGGAGAGCCCTGCGGTTGCGGGCGGTGCCGTACCAGGTGGTGATACAGCCCGACAGGATGCCCTCAATTGTGCATCTGTAAAAGTTTGAAGGTTTTAGGTGCCAAGCCAAATTTCTTCAGCCTCCTGAGATTGAAGAGGCTCTATACTAAATATATTCACGTCACCAAATAATTGATTAAAACATACTCTTTTGCTATGAAGGTCTACATTAACCTTAACAGCACTCTGTAGGGTAGCGCCATGGTGTAGCTGGAGGACAGCTAGTTTCCGTCCTCCTCTGGGTACATTGACTTTAATACAAAACCTAGGAGGCTCAAGGTTCTCACCCACTTCCATAGACTTACACAGTAATTTTGACAACTTCCAGAGGATGGACTCCAACCTATCAGCTCTCTTGCAGCCTGAACTGACATGTTGTCCACCCAATCAAAGGATCAGAGAATGACTAGTACTGAAAGCATACGCTACAGCTACCTAGCACTGCAGTGCATCAAATTTGGTGAGCAGTTGACTCAAAGAGCGAGACAATAGTTAAACAGTTTTTAACAAATTAATTTATTGAAAAATGAAGGAGAAGCGAGAGAAAGAGCTAGCTATATTTCTCATTCTTTCCACTTTCACTTACTTAGCTAGTGAATGCAGCTAACTAGTTTAGCCTACTCAAACACCCGGCTCAAACAGAGAGGGGTGCTATGTTAGCTAGCTGTCTATAGCTATCTAACACTGGAACTCTTCCAAGTCAAGGTACGTTTTTGGTTTTATTAATTTATTGCAACCGGGGCCTGCCGGTGTAACTGCTAAACTGCTTGCTGACTGTACACTGTACTGCATGATTGTAGCGGGTTTACTAACACGTGAGTTCTAGTAGCTATGTTGACTATGATATTAACGATGTAGGCTGTGTGCAGCAGTTATGATATGAAGGTTTGGCTTGGAAAGTTTTATTTTTTTTGCCTTGGTGACAGACAGCTGATGTGTTGTGCACTAAAGTCCACAAGCGTAGGGGAAAGGTGAGAGGAGGAGAGCGCGTAGATGCGAGAAGGAATACAACAAGCATAGTAATCATGCTATTTGTATTTGGCTGCTATGTAAGTGAACTGTGTTTGCATGTGATCAGAGGTTTATTCATTCCGCCGATTCTGTAGAAAAATAATTTCCTCCCTCATCTTAAACAGCACTGACTGCCACTGATTCCGAAACCTTCATCCTGTTTGCAAGAATGCACTAAAGTTGAACTGCAGAAAAATTTAGCTGATGGAAAAACATCCCCACAGCATGATGCTGCCACCACCATGCTTCATTGTGGGGATGGTGTTCTCGGGGTGATGAGAGGTGTTGTGTTTGTGCCAGACATAGCTTTTTCCTTGATGGACAAAAAGCTCATTTTTAGTTTCATCTGAACAGAGTACCTAATTCCATATGTTTGGGGAGTCTCCCACATGCCTTTTGGCGAACACCAAACGTGTTTGCTTATTTTTTCTTTAAGCAATGGCTTTTTTCTGGCCACGCTTCCGTAAAGCCCAGCTCTGTGGAGTGTATGGCTTAAAGTGGTCCTATGGACAGGTACTCCAATCTCCGCTGTGGAGCTTTGCAGCTCCTTCAGTGTTATCTTTGGTCTCTTTGTTGCCTCTCTGATTAATGCCCTCCTTGCCTGGTCCATGAGTTTTGGTGGGTGGCCCTCTCTTGGCAGGTTTGTTGTGGTGCCATTTTCTTTACATTTTTTAATAATGGATTTAATGGTGCTCCGTGGGATGTTCAAAGTTGGGATTTTTTTTAAATAACCAACCCTGATCTGTACTTCTCCACAACTTTGTCCCTGACCTGTTTGGAGAGCTCCTTGGTCTTCTTGGTGCCGCTTGCTTGGTGGTGCCCCTTGCTTAGTGGTGTTGCAGACTCTGGGGCCTTTCAGAACAGGTGTGTGTATATATATACTGAGATCGTGTGACACTTAGATTGCATACTGGTGGACTTTATTTAACTAATAATGTGCCATCTGAAGGTAATTGGTTGCACCAGATCTTATTTAGGGGTTTCATAGCAAAGGAGGTTAATACATATGCACGCACCACTTTTCCGTTATTAATTTTTTTAGAATTGTTGGAAATTTCATATTTTGTGTATGTCCATTACATGAAATCCAAATAAAAATCAATTTAAATTACAGGTGGTAATGCAACAAAATAAGAAAAACGCCAAGGGGGATGAATACTTTTGCAAGGCACTGTAAAACACAAGGCCAAATCTACACTGGAGTTGCTTACCAAGAAGACAGTGAATGTTCCTGAGTGGCCTAGTTACAGTTGTGACTTAAATCTGCTTGAAAATCTATGGCAAGACTTGAAAATGGCTGAAAAGCAATGATGAACAACCAACTTGACAGAGCTTGAAGAATTAAAAAAGAATATTGCAAATATTGTACAATCCAGGTGTGCAAAGCTCTTAGAGACTTTCCCAGAAAGACTCACAGCTGTAATTGCGGCCAAAGATGATTCTAACATGTATTGACTCAGAGGTGTGAATGCCTACAGTACCAGTCAAAAGTTTGGACACACCTACTCATTCAAGGGTTTTTCTTAATTTTTTACTATTTTCTATATTGTAGAATAATAGTGAAGACATCAAAACTATGAAATTACACATGGAATCATGTAGTAACCAAAAAAGTGTTAACCAAATCAAAATATATTTTAGATTTGAGATTCTTCAAATTAGCCACTCTTTGCCTGGATGACAGCTTTGCACACTCTTGGCATTCTCTCAACCAGCTTCATGAGGTAGTCACCTGGAATGCTTTTCCAACAGTCTTGAAGGAGTTCCCACATATGCTGAGCACTTGTTGGCTGCTTTTCCTTCACTCTGCGGTCCAACTCATCCCAAACCATCTCAATTGGGTTGAGGTCGGCTGATTGTGGAGGCCAGGTCATCTGATGCAGCACTCATCACTCTCCTTCTTGGTCAAATAGCCCTTACACAGCCTGGAGGTGTGTTTTGGGTCATTGTCCTGTTGAAAAACAAATGATAGTCCCGCTAAGCGCAAACCAGAAGGGATGACGTATCGCTGGAGAATGCTGTGGTAGCCATGCTGGTTAAGTGTGCCTTTAAATTCTAAATAAATCACAGACAGTGTCACCAGCAAAGCACCATCACACCACCTCCTCCATGCTTCACGGTGGGAACCACACATGCAGAGATCATCCGTTCACCTACTCTGCATCTCAGAAAGACACGGCGGTTTGAACCAAAAATCTCAAATTTGGACTCATCAGACCAAATGACATATTTCCACCAGTCTAATGTCCATTGCTCGTGTTTCTTGGCACAAGCAAGTCTCTTCTTATTATTGGTGTCCTTTAGTAGTGGATTCTTTGCAGCAATTTGACCATGAAGGCCTGATTTCACGCAGTCTCCTCTGAACAGTTGATGTTGAGATGTGTCTGTTACTTGAACTCTGTGAAGCATTTACTTGGGATGCAATCTGATGTGCACTTAATTGCTGGTTTCTGAGTCTGGTAACGCTAATTAACTTATCTTCTGCAGCAGCGGTAACTCTGGGTCTTCCTTTCCTGTGGCGGTCCTCATGATTTCATCATAGCGCTTGATAAAGCTATCATCTGGATACCAACCCTACCTTGTCACATCACAACTGATTGGCTCAAACGCATTAAGAAGGAAAGAAATTCCACAAATTAAGTTTTTAACAAGGCACAGCTGTTAATTGAAATGCATTCCAGGTGACTACCTCATGAAGCTGGTTGAGAGAATGCCAAGAGTTTGCAAAGCTGTCATCAAGGCAAAGAATGGATACTTTGAAGAATCTCAAATATTTGTTTAACACTTTCTTGGTTACTACATTATTCCGTATGTGTTATTTCATAATTTTGATGTCTTCACTATTATTCTACAATGTAGAAAATACCCCAAAAATGAAGAAAATCCCTGAAATGAGTAGGGGTGTCCACATTTCTGACTGGTACTGTACGTAAATGAGATATTTCTGTATTCATTTTCAATAAGTTTGCTTAAAAATCTAAAAACATGTTTTCCCTTTGTCATTATGGGGTGTTTTGTGTAGATGGGGGGGTGGTAATAATATATATAATCCTTTATGAATTACGGCTGCAACACAAAATGTGGAATAAGTCAAGGGGTATGAATACTTTCTGAAGGCACTGTATATTTGTGCAAGAAGGCATTTCCACCGCCATTTCTCACATAATTAATTTTACTGACACAAAAAGATCCCACCTTGTCTAGTGTATTATGTTTTATCGACATTTGGAAAGTTTACTGACAGATTAGCTGTTTCCATCAGGCCTGTCGTGACATTTAAAAAAATCCGACATGTACTTTACTCGCATTAAAAGGTTGGTTGGAAACCTGTTTAGTGTAAGTGGGATTCATATTCAACATACACATGCTATAGCTACATGTAACGGCCAAAATAATGGAAACGTTAGTAAATTAGGGATACAAAGTATATTGAAAGCAGGTGCTTCCACACAGGCGTGGTTCCTGAGTTAATTAAGCAATTAACATTCCGTGCTTAGTGTCATGTATAAAAATGCTGGGCATGCCATTATTTTGATTACCATGGCTATGCCCCCATCCACAGGGCACAAGTGGTCACTGAATGGTTTGATGAGCATGAAAACGATGTAAGCCATATGCCATGGCCATCTTGAACATTTATGGGAGATTCTGGAGCGGGACCTGAGACAGCGTTTTCCACCACCATCAACAAAAACCAAATGATGGCGTTTCTCGTGGAAGAATTAAAGAAAGTTCCAGACACTCGTTAAATTTATGCCACGGTGCATTGAAGCTGTTATGTCTCGTAGTGTCCCAATGCCTTATTAAGACACTAAGTTGGTGTTTTCTTTATTTTGGCAGTTACCTGTAGCTATAGCATGGTGTAACCGTTACACCAAGATATCCAAACCTCTTGGCGTAACTGTTAGTGTGTTGGCTTAACAATCGCATCAGAAGTGGGATGCTGCCCGTGAAGCCATCGAAGAGGCGTGTACACGCGAGGGACTTGATATAGAGAAGCATGACGAAGCGATCTTAAGCCAACACATAGTGACCCCGTCAAGGGGTTTGGACTTGACAGTCGCTGGACCCTGATTCAAGTCCCATCGGGGCTACCCCCCAAATTCGCTACAACATACTTCCATGGTTGGTTTCATTGACCACGTTTACATGCGTACCGATATCCCGTTCTTATTCGGGATATTCAAGTATTCTGTTTTTGAGTTGACACATATAAACAATCCTGTTTGCCCCAGAAGACTAAAATAAAGTAGTGCTCACCAGAATGTTATACATGGATAGAATGAATGCATTAGTAATCTAGTTAACACCGGTAAAGTTGTCTGTTTCATTTAGGGACCTGGGTAAAAATGCAATAACTCCAACAGTGGAAAGATTGGTCCTGTGCAAAATGTCCAAATGTCATCAGTTTGACCGGTTTTAAGGAAATGAAAAGCTGAGAAAGCAACTTTACACGTTTCTGGTAAGTCTTCAGTTCATCTTGGGTGCATATTTTATGTGGTTGAAATACTGTCTGCTTGTATACAGTGCATTCGGAAAGTATTCAGACCCCTTCACTTTTTCCACATTGTTACATTCTAAAATTGATTAAATTGTTTTTTCTCCCTCATCAATCTACACACAATACCCCATAATGACAAAGCAAAACAGGGTTTTTAGAAAATTTTGCAAATGTATTAAAAATTACAAACTATCACATTTACGTAAGTATTCAGACCCTTTACTTTGTTGAGGCACCTTTGGCAGCAATTACAGCCTCAAGTGTCTTTAGGTATGACACTACAAGCTTGGCACACCAGTATTTGGGGAGTTTCTCCCATTCTTCTCTGCACATCCTCTCAGGCTCTCAGGTTGGCGAGGGAGCGTCGCTGCACAGCTATTTTCAGGTCTCTCCAGAGATGTTCGATCGGGTTCAAGTCCGGGCTCTGGCTGGGCCACTCAAGGACATTCAAGGACTTGTCCCGAAGCCACTCCTGCGTTGTCTTGTCTGTGTGCTTAGGGTCGTTGTCCTGTTGGAAGGTGAACCTTCGCCCCAATCTGAGGTCCTGAGCGCTCTGGGGCAGGTTTTCATCAAGGATCTCTGTACTTTGCTCCGTTCATCTTTCCCTTGATCCTGACTATTCTCACAGTCGCTGCTGCTGAAAAACATCCTCACAGCATGATGCTGCAATCATGCTTCACCGTAGGAATGGTGCCAGGTTTCCTCCAGATGTGACGCTTGGCATTCAGGCCAAAGAGTTCAATCTTGGTATCATTAGACCGGAGAATCTTGTTTCTCATGGTCTGAGAGTCCTTTAAGTGCCTTTTGGCTAACTCCAAGCGGGCTGTCATGTGCCTTTTTACTGAGGAGTGGCTTCCGTCTGGCAACTCTACCATAAAGGCCTGATTGGTGGGGTGCTGCAGAGATGGTTGTCCTTCTGGAACGTTCTCCCATCCCCACAGAGGAACTCTGAAACTCTGTCAGAGTGACCATTGGGTTCTTGGTCACCTCCCTAACCAAGGCCCTTCTCCCCCGATTGCTCAGTTTGGCTGGGCGGCCAGCTCTAGGAAGAGTCTTGGTGGTTCCAAACGTCTTCCATTTAAGAATGATGGCGGCCACTGTGTTCTTGGGGACCTTCAATGCTGCAGGAATGTTTTGGTACCCTTCCCCAGATCTATGCCTCGACACAATCCTGCCTTGAAGAAGCTCTACGGACAATTATTTTGACCTCGTGGCTTGGTTTTTGCTCTGACATGCACTGTCAACTGTGGGACCTTATATAGACAGGTGTGTGCCGTTCCAAATCATGCCCATTCAATTGAATTTACCACAGGTGGACTCCAATGAAGTTGTAGAAACATCTCAAGGATGATCAATGGAAACAGGATGCACCTGAGCTCAATTTCGAGTCTCATTGCAAAGGGTCTGAATACTTATGTAAATAAGGTATTTGTTTTTTATTTTAATACAGTGAGGGAAAAAAGTATTTGATCCCCTGCTGATTTTGTACGTTTGCCCACCTGACAAAGAAATTATCAGTCTATAATTTTAATGGTAGGTTTATTTGAACAGTGAGAGACAGAATAACAACAAATAATCCAGAAAAACGCATGTCAAAAATGTTATAAATTGATTTGCATTTTAATGAGGGAAATAAGTATTTGACCCTCTCTCAATCAAAGATTTCTGGCTCCCAGGTGTCTTTTATACAGGTAACGAGCTGAGATTAGGAGCACACTCTTAAATGGAGTGCTCCTAATTACCTGTATAAAAGACACCTGTCCACAGAAGCAATCAATCAATCAGATTCCAAACTCTCCACCATTGCCAAGACCAAAGAGCTCTCCAAGGATGTCAGGGACAAGATTGGCTGGAATGGGCTGGAATTGGCTACAAGACCATCACCAAGCAGCTTGGTGAGAAGGTGACAACAGTTGGTGGGATTATTCGCAAATGGAAGAAACAAAATAACTGTCAATCTCCCTTGGCCTGGGGCTCCATGCAAGATCTCACCTCGTGGCGTTAAAATGATCATGAGAACGGTGAGGAATCAGCTCAGAACTACACAGGAGGATCTTGTCAATGATCTCAAGGCAGCTGGGACCATAGTCACCAAGAAAACAATTGGTAACACACTACGCCGTGAAGGACTGAAATCCTGCAGCGCTCGCAAGGTCCCCCTGCTCAAGAAAGCACATATACAGGGCCGTCTGAAGTTTGCCAATGAACATCTGAATGATTTACAGGAGAACTGGGTGAAAGTGTAGTGGTCAGATGAGACCAAAATCGAGCTCTTTGGCATCAACTTAACTCTCCGTGTTTGGAGCAGGAATGCTGCCTATGACCCCAAGAACACCATCCCCACCGTCAAACATGGAGGTGGAAACATTATGCTTTGGGGGTGTTTTTCTGCTAAGGGGACAGGACAACTTCACCGCATCAAAGGGACGATGGACAGGGCCATGTACCATCAAATCTTGGGTGAGAACCTCCTTCCCTCAGCCAGGGCATTGAAAATGGGTCGTGGATGGGTATTCCAGCATGACAATGACCCAAAACACACGGCCAAGGCAACAAAGGAGTGGCTCAAGAAGAAGCACATTAAGGTCCTGGAGTGGCCTAGCCAGTCTCCAGACCTTAATCCCATAGAAAATCTGTGGAGGGTGATGAAGGTTCGAGTTGCCAAACGTCAGCCTCAAAACCTTAATGACTTGGAGAAGATCTGAAAAAGGACAAAATCCCTCCTGAGATGTGTGCAAACCTGGTGACCAACTACAAGAAACGTCTGACCTCTGTGATTGCCAACAAGGGTTTTGCCACCAAGTACTAAGTAATGTTTTGCAGAGGGGTCAAATACTTATTTCCCTAATTAAAATGCAAATCAATTTTATAACATTTTTGACATGCGTTTTTCTGGATTTTTTTGTTCATTCTGTCTCTCACTGTTCAAATAAACCTACCATTAAAATTATAGACTGACTGTGGTCCTCTGTAGCTCAATTGGTAGAGCATGGCGCTTGTAACGCCAGGGTAGTGGGTTCGATCTCCGGGACCACCCATACGTAAAAATGTATGCACACATGACTGTAAGTCGCTTTGGATAAAAGCGTCTGCTAAATGGCATATTATATTATTATTATTATATCATCATGTCTTTGTCAGTGGGCAAACGTAAAAAATCAGCAGGGGATCAAATACTTTTTTCCCTCACTGTACATTTCTAAAAACCTGTTTTCTCTTTGTCATTATGGGGTGTATTGTGTGTAGATTGAGGGGAAAAAATAAATGTAATCCATTTTAGAATAAGCCTGTAACGTAACAAAATGTGGAAAAGGGGAAGGGGTCTGAATACTTTCCGAATGCACTGTAAGTGTCAAAGATAACACATTACACGTGCATTCACATTTTCTTAAGAGATGCTGAAAGAAATGTCATATTTCTCCACTCCTGTTCCCGAGACATAATTAACATTTGTTGTATGATTTCACTGCAAGAAGTGCATCATTCTGCAGGAGTTTATATTATATTATGCTACATGTGAGAGGTTACAGACCTACAGTCAGTGTCCATATTTCAGTTACTATTCCAGTTAACCCATATGAACTTAAATTAGGAATATTCTGTTTATTCATGGACCAGGGATACTCATGAGCGGGATATCAAAGGTGCATCTAAACAGCTTATCCCAAATAAGACCTTAAGAGGGATATGAGCTACTATCCAGAATACTGTGCACATGTAAACGTGGTAATTGACTCTCCCCTTAAACTGCCCCTAATTCACCCATTTACCCAAGTCCGTTGGAGAGGATCAGCTTGAGCAAAGTGAGGTTTAGAATCACACAAATATTATTCCCCTTCAAATAATTAGTAGAGCTACGCCTATCCTAGCTAAAGCTTACTGTATGCTTCCCAGTCTAAACAGTTTGCACATATACTATGACAACATTTATTAAGTTTGTTTTGGTGTTTGGCAGGTTATTTTTCCGGCTGTTCGCGCACAAATTTTTCTCGAGGCTTGTCGAAGTTCGGTAGCCGAAGCCTATGCCCCTTCGTCGGTGATTGGTCAACATTAGGGATTCTTGAAATGTGTGTTGTCATTCAATGACATACGACTAGTTTTTGACATTTTTCTCACTAGAGAAATACTGCACCAAACATCTTTGTTAGATGTAAAATAACGTGACCAAGACCACCTCGGCAAAAACATAAATTTATTTCCGATTTTCTTGAGTTGTTTTAGATCAATTTGGACTATTTTAAGGAAGTGTACTTGTTGCTACAGCATCTCGAGGGACATACAGGAATATTTTTCTCATTTTTCAAGCGATGGTATTTTAAGGGAGTATGCGAGCACAAACGTCACTTTGCGTAGAGAAGTTCTGCCAACCTATGTATGCAGACGCGTTAAAAGAAAAATAGCCTTTGAATGATCCAAAACATCACCCATAATATTTTTATGTTATTAAAATGCTCAGAATATAAATTGTACCTTTTCTCTCATCTCTAACTATCAGGAAGCCTGAAAGAACAGGCTGAGTGGGCGGGAGCTTATATTCATGAGCTCGCCTTGACTGACAGCACTTTGAAATGCCCTTGTGGTCGTTGCCAGGTTACAATGTAAACAATGTCATTCTTAGCCTAAATAGTATGCCTCAACCCATTTTTTTCTGCAACATGCTCATGTTCAACAGAGCTGATCATGGACTGACAAACCGCAGCAATACACAATTGTTTTGTAACTAATTACAGAATACAGTTAGTTCACTGATACACTTCACAAGAATTAGTCAAGCCTGAGTCACCTTAGAAGCTTTGACATGAATGTACATGAAAACAGCATACAATAAGTGAACTGGACAATTGATTGGTGCCGCTGCATTAGCATTATAAATGACCATATGTTCAGAATTGTATGTGTTGATCAGACATTTATTTGATAATTTACAATTGGCCAGCATAGCTGAAATATTGATCAACATGAACACTCATGAGAAATAAATTTGGCATAAAAATGTTTTATTACAGCCATAAGCCCAATGCAGGACCCGTTGATTCTTACAATTTGTAACACTCCTCTCCCATCCGAATGATTATCATATCACGTAAAAGTGAATTACTTAGGGTTTAGGAAATGTAACCAATTACAGAGATTGATCGGGAGAGGAAGGGGAACCATGTACCCTGCTTCAATCAAGCAGGCTTCAGTCACCAACTTGGCTTCAGTCACCCCCAAGATTGAAGCGGGAGACAAATCCAGCTATGGCCTCCTCCTTGTCAGGCCTCTCACACTGGGCAGACGGGTCCTGGGATGGACAGCTCGCACAGCTTCCCCACATACAACGATGGATCAAGGGTGAAGAGGAGATCCAGGAGCCTGTCTACGTAGCCTGTCATGTTTTGAAAAGGCAAATGTTTGTTAAATGGGAAGTGTATTTAATTTCCTTTTATTTAATGTTCTGAGTTATTGTTGATGTAGTGGTCTACTCATTCTATTATGTATTTTCTGGTGTTTCTGAAGTACTTTTTTTGTGAAACTTCTCAATGTTGGTGTGCTCAATTGATGCAGATTTGAAATGAATAACTATGTTGGGTCTGTCTTCACAGGCTTCACAGCATATCCCCCCTTTGCCTTTGGGAAAGCTGATTTTGTATCACAGCATTCCTTTTGCAAAGGTTGCCTGAGAAGCTGTGCAGACAGTAGATGTTGAATTTTCTAAAATGTCTATCATTACTGCTTGATGATAGTGGAAAGACAAAAGGTGATGGAAAGTGAAATGACTGTTAGCTTGCTAGCTAAGTCACACCACAGATGAAAGGTTACCAGTTTATTTCGTCGTATGTTCTGCTTGAGCTAGCTATTAGTAGCTATATTATGGTCTGTAAACAAAACCAAAGCATGGTGTATATGTGATGACGGTTTTAAAGCGGTACATATTTAAATTAGTAAAGATGATAAGATGCTACCAAAGCCGGAAGTAAATCCTTGGTAATGCCTGCCTCCTGAATCTTACGTTTTTGACACTGGGTGAGGGGACCGGTAACTTTATGATCAAACTTTATCAATGTACCAGCTACAGTCATTTATCATACTTGGGTCACCCTACTTTGAACTGGTTTCATCCAAATAGTATCCAATTTGAAGAAAACAACATGATTTTCACTGTTCGGGACCTTTAAGGCAATCCCCCCCCATAAAAAACACTCATGCGCAACCAGACGATTGATTGATTTGATTGACTGGAGACAGCTTGTGTCAATTAAATAATATTTCCTATGATTTTCTACCTGCAGCAAACCTACTGGATAATGCTGGACACACCGGTCAAAGAAAAAACCCCACTAAAACCAACTAAACTGGCCTTATCTATACAATATCTGAAGGTGATGTGTGGTTGAGAAAAATGGATGTTTACCCAATGGTGTCATTATCCCACCTCTCTCCTCAGTTCCAAAGCTCTTGGTGGACCTTCACGTGAAGTTGCTGAGGAAGATTGGCAAGTCAGTGTCTGCAGACAGATGGGAGAAGTACATTGTGAAGGTAAATGGATCTCAGAACAAGGCTTGTCATTTTTCTGCACACTCCGAGACAGTTTACGCGTTGCTTTATAGATGATTCAACTTTCAATATATTTAATTTTTATTAAAATACAGGCAGCGGCATGAGTCTGGGCATTCTGAAAGATGATATTGTATATTTTAGAGGTTTACCAATGGATGATGGAATGTGTTTCCTTATAGGTGTGCCATGAGTTCAACAGTACCTGGGCATGGGAGCTTGAAAATAAAGGATACAAGGACATGTCTGTGGAGTGCAAGACTGGAATCCTCAAAGTAAGTGGCCAGTCTTTGTAATTAGTAGGCCTAACATCTCGGGATGCACTATGTTTATTTTCAATCAAAATCACAATATTGACATGTACATCATATTGCAAGAGTTTGCAATATACAGTGCATTCGGAAAGTATTCAGACCCCTTGACTTTTTCCACATTCTGTTACTGTACAGCCTTATTCTAAAATTGATTAAATTGTTTTTTTCTCTCATCAATCTACACACAATACCCCATAATGACAAAGCGAAAACAGGTTTTTAGAAATGTTTGCAAATGTATTACAAATAAAAATAAACAAATACCTTATTTACGTAAGTATTAAGACCCTTTGCTATGAGACTCGAAATTGAGCTCAGGTGCATCCTGTTTCCATTGATCATTCTTGAGATGTTTCTACAACTTAATTGGAGTCCACCTGTGGTAAATTTAATTGATTGGACATGATTTGGAAAGGGACACACCTGTCTATATAAGGTCCCACCGTTGACAGTGCATGTCAGAGAAAAACCAAGCCATGAGGTCGAAGGAATTGTCCGTAGAGCTCATAGACAGGATTGTGTCGAGGCACAGATCTGGGGAAGGGTACCAAAACATTTCTGCGGCATTGAAGGTCCGGAAGGACAACCATCTCTGCAGGACTCCAACAATCAGGCCTTTATGGTAGAGTGGCCAGACGGCAGCCACTCCTCAGTAAAAGGCACATGACAGCCCGCTTGGAGTTTGCCAAAAGGCACCTAAAGGACTCTCAGATCATGGGAAACAAGATTCTCTGGTCTGATGAAACCAAGATCAAACTCTTTGGCCTGAATGCCAAGCGTCACGTCTGGAGGAACCTGGCATCATCCCTACGGTGAAGCATGGTGGTGGCAGCATCATTCTGTGGGGATGTTTTTCAGCGGCAGGGATTGGGAGACTAGTCATGATCGAGGGAAAGATGAACGGAGCAAAGTACAGAGATCCTTGATGAAAGGCTGCTCTGCGGCTCAGGACCTCACCTTCCAACAGGACAACGATCCTAAGCACACAGCCAAGACAACGCAGGAGTGGCTTCGGGACAAGTCTCTGAATGTCTTTGAGTGGCCCAGCCAAAGCCCGGACTTGAACCCGATCGAACATCTCTGGAGAGACCTGAAAATAGCTGTGCAGTGACGCTCCCCATCCAACCTGACAGAGCTTGAGAGGATCTGCAGAGAAGAATGGGAGAAACTCCCCAAATACAGGTATGCCAAGCTTGTAACGTCATACCCAATAAGACTCGAGGCTGTAATCGTTGCCAAAGGTGCTTCAACAAAGTACTGATTAAAGGGTCTGAATACTTATGTAAATGTGATATTTCTGTTGTATTTATTTATTTTTGCAAAAATATTTTAAAAAATGTTTTTTTCTTTGTCATTATGGGGTATTGTGTGTAGATTGGGGGGGGGGGGGACAATTTAATCCATTTTAGAATAAGGCTGTAACCTAACAAAATGTGGAAAAGGTCAAGGGTGCTGAATATTTTCTTAATGCACTGTAGCAGTAATTAGGCTAGTTCTGCATGCAAACATGCAACATATATTTCCAAACAAGATGCAGGTGGTAAAAATGACACCACTTTTCACCTAAATAAATCTACATATTTTCTGTATGATACAAAAGTGAATTCTCTGAAAATATTGGTGCCAGTGGTGGTGGCACAGATCTTGTGCAGTTCACCCAAATGTGTTGTTGTGTTGCAAGTCATATCGCTATCGCAATATTCCATAAAAATATTTTGCAGCCCTACTAACATCTGATTTTGTTTTTGCCAAAGGAAACATTTCTCATACTTTTTCTCTCTCTGTCCAGCACTTATGTGAGTGCCAGTTTGATGACAATGTCAAGTTCAGGACTGCAATCAATGAGGAGGATCCCGATAAGATGCGGCTCCATCCCATAGGCAAGGACAAGGATGGCCTGATGTACTGGTTCCAACTTGACCAGGATAACAATGTGAGGGTCTATGTGGAGGAGCAGGACGACCTGGACGGGTCCTCCTGGAAGTGCATTGTCAGGTACTGTGGAACTATTGTCCTGAGGGGCCTGGTGGGCTTTAGGGGATGAAAGAGGCATACTGTGGTACTGCAGAGCCTAAATGTCAAGTCTTGTATTCCATGTGGATTATAGATTACTTGGTTCATATGTAATTTTACCACAAGACTGCTGAAAATGTCTCTGTTAAACTGGAAAGACTGATTTGAATGATCCATCTCTATGTAGAGACAGAAACAGCTTGGCTGAGATCCTGGCACAGCTGAAGACTCAAATCGACCCAGCACTGTTGACAAAGAAAGAAGGAGAGGAGGAAGATGAGAACAAGAAGACTGTGGGAGAAGGTAAAGTAATATCGACAAAGCTTGTTGCATCAATAATGTCATGCCGTCTGTTTTTTGCTGTTTACTCAGACATTTCTATGAAATTGATGATGCTTGAGTTCAGTCATTTGCCTTGGATCTATTTTGTCAAAAGTGAACAAAACGTATTTCCCTGACAGATGCAGTAATAAATGTTGTACTTTTATTTTCTATTAATATATAATTCTGTTGTAACTGCAATTCCTATTTATTATACCTTTGTCCATTAGGGGACATTAAAAAGACAGAGGATACCTCAGAGGATGAAGAGGACAAACCCTCCAAGGATACAGCTTCTTTAGTCTCCCCAAAAACAGAGAGTACAGAAAAAAAATCCCTAACAGAGGAATCAAAACCGGATGTATCAGATGCCAAATCCCCATCGAATGGCCTCAAAGACAACCAAGCCGAGTCAGAGTCAACAAGCCAATCAGAGAAGTCAATGATGGATGACACGGTCACCATTAACACCCAGGCAATCAAAGAAGAGCCGATGGAGGTGTCAGAATCCAAGGAGAGCACAGCCACAGGTGCTACAGAGCCTCTTGCAGAGAAACCTTATGTGACTCCACAGATAGAACAGACTGAGGAAGCCAAGAGGAAGACTGCAGAGGAACTCCAAAGGGTGATGAAGAATGACCAGCAGGCCAAAATCCCCTTGAAAAAGAGAGAGATGAAACTTAGTGAAGATTTCGATAATAGTGGCAGTCGCAGTAGAATCATTGTGCGAAACCCATCTGTTGCTCCTGTCAAAGAAGCTCCTAAAGTTGAGGAGTCAAGTAAAGAGGTCTCTGTTGCCCTGGTGGGGACGATGGAGACTAAAAGTGATCAAGTGAATGGTGATGCTCAGCCTGTCACAGAAAAAAGTGTGAATAATGGGATGAGAGAATCTCCTAAGGAGATGGGAATACAGAGAGAATCTGCTGATAGCAAAGAACAGCAAACAAAAGCTGTTGTTGGGGAAGAATGTGAAGCAGCAGAAGCTAGTGCAAAAGAGAAAACAAACCTGCCCCTGCACAAGGACAAAAAGAAAGGGGAGATGGCAAGCAACACTGAGGAGCCCATGGAGGTGGCCATGGCTGATGAAACAAACCTACAGAAAACTGTTCCAGCCCCAAAGGCAGAAATGGAAAGCACGGAATCACTGAATAAATCATCCATAAAAGAGGATAAGTCTTTGTCCCCTCTGACAAAGCCATTGACTTCATCTAAGGATGCAACAAGCCCACCGGAAAAGTCCTCTGATCGTAAAGAGGAACAAAAAGTCAAGGTATCCAAGTGGGATGTGAAAGTGCGTCGTACAGAACACAAGACATCCACATCAATAGAAACAGATAAAAACCCTTTATCTAGTAAGTCACAAAAACCAGATGAAACTAAAGGAACAGATTCATCAATTGCATTTCAAGAGGTAAATTCGGCTGCCTTTAAGGAAACAGTTGTCCCTAAAGACAGTTGTCCCCTTTCTGTAGTGAAAGAGATTAAAAAACCATCCATCACAAAAGCTACAGAAAAGCTGTTGAACCCTAAAAACCCAGAAACATCAGTCATCACTAAACAAACCGAGAGACCTGACCCCATTACAGAGAAACCAGACAGCTCTAAAAGCACTGAGACGCCAGCAGTCATAAAAAATACAGAGAAACCATCTAACAAAGAGAGTGCAGAGAAATGTGATGATTTTAAAGATATCGAAACATCTTCTGTCATTAAAAAGACAGAGATTTCAGAAAATAGTAAAGATGCCAAGAACCTGGCCAGCTCTAAAGAGACCAATACATCCTCATTCCTTAAAAAGGCAGACAAACCAGTTCCCAATAAAGAAGCAGAGAAACTGGACAACACTAAAGAGACTGATGATAAATCGTTGGTCATTAAAATGACAGTGAAACCAGAGGCATCTAAACATACAGAGAAATGTGATACCCCTAAAGACATTATGTCAGCTGTCACCAAGGAGAAACCTGCTGTCAGTGCTGTAAGCACAAATACAAATGCAGCCCCTGAGGTGAAGAAAAAAACTGTCCTGGAGAAAGACTCTAAGAAAACAGCTGTCTGTAAAGATGAGGAGACGAGAGCTGTTGTGGCAGTGACTGAGACAAAATCTGGCCCTAAAGACGTGGAGATGGCAGACATCTCTGAGAAATCAACCCAATCACAACTGGAAGAACCCAAAAAGGTAGAGAAATTGGGTATCCCTAAAGAGATGTTGAAATCGACTACACCTAAATACACAGAGAAATCGGCTAAATCGGCTACGCCTAAAGATGCAGAGAAATTGGCTACCCCTAAATACACCGATAAATCTGCGTCCGCTAAAGACGCAGAGAAATCGGCTACGCCTAAAGACGCTAAGAAATCAGTTATACACAAAGATGCTGAGAAATGGCCTAAATCGGCTACGTATGAAGACGCTGGGAAATCGGCTACCCCTAAAGACACAGAGAAATCAGCTACCCCTACAGACGCTGAGAATTCAGCTAAATCGGCTACGCCTATCCCTAAAGACGTGGAGAAATTGACTACTCCTAAAGACACTGAGAAATCGGCTACTCCTAAAGACACTGAAAAATCGGCTACTCCTAAAGACACTGAGAAATCGGCTACTCCTAAAGACACTGAGAAATCGGCTACTCCTAAAGACACTGAGAAATCAGTTATACATAAAGATGCTGAGAAATGGCCTAAATCGGCTACGTCTGAAGACGCTGGGAAATCGGCTACCCCTAAAGACACAGAGAAATCAGCTACCCCTACAGACGCTGAGAATTCAGCTAAATCGGCTACGCCTATCCCTAAAGACGTGGAGAAATTGACTACTCCTAAAGACACTGAGAAATCGGCTACTCCTAAAGACACTGAAAATCGGGTACTCCTAAAGACACTGAGAAATCGGCTACTCCTAAAGACACTGAGAAATCGGCTACTCCTAAAGACACTGAGAAATCGGCTACTCCTAAAGACACTGAGAAATCGGCTACTCCTAAAGACACTGAGAAATCGGCTACCCTTAAAAACACAGAGACTGCCTCTAAAAAGATTGCGAAATCTTCAAGCTCTGAAGGACAGAAACCAGATGCCTCTAAAGAAACGGAGAAACTGTCAGATATAAAGCCAAGTGCAGCAAAAGGAGAGAAATGTGTCGCCTTTGAGGATGCCAAGCGATTACCCTCTCTCAAAGAGGCTGTCCCAGTGGAGGGGAAACAGGAGGAGCCTATGGAAATAAGTTCGGAAAAGTCAACAGATGACAATGTAAATATTAGGGGATATGCCGATAAAGGCTGGACAAAAAAGGCTGTTAAAAGTGGAGAGAATTCTGAGAGCGAGCCTATCAAAAACTCAAACCGCATGGACTGTAATGCACCATCAGAAAAACAGGCTACCAGCAAGAAGGCATCATCTCTCACTGAGACTGAAGGTGAGACAGACAAAAGCCAGGACAAAGTAATCAAGGAAGATGCCACAACACAGGGATCCCCTAAAAAAGAGGATGGGAAGGAAGATAGTCAGGCTAAGAAAGACGACAAAAAGGAGGATGATGGTGCTGAGAAAGATGAAAACTCAACTGCAGCAGAGAAATCGGGTGAGGCAAAAGCAAGTAAGGGGTCTGAGAATAAAGAGGATGAGGACAAGAGTGAAAAAAAGGATGCGGGAACAACATCAGAGATCCAAGAGGAGGGGATTCGCCTGAAAATACGCGGGATTACTCACCGGAGGAAAGCTGAGCTCCAGACAAAGGAGAGGGACTCAGGGTCCGATACTGGTGAGACTGGGAGATCCCTGAGGAGGTCACCCAGGATTTGCAGGCCGACCGCCAAGGGGGTGGAGTTCCAGGACAGGAGGCTGGAGAAAAAAGAGACCACACCCCCTGAGGAGAAGGAGGAGGAGGACGAGGAGGAGAAAACTGTTGAGAGGAAACCGAGAGAGAAGGTTAATCAAGATGGACAGTCCAAATCTAAGGTAAGTTATTTCAGTAACTGCAGATATTTCTACATTCATATTACAGGTGGATTGTGAATGCATGTTTTTGGATCAACAGTATCTTTTAGATCAGGGATTCACAGTGGCAGCCTTCAGTAATTTGTGTATGCTGTCCTACATTAGCCTCGTGAAATCCAAAAATGAGGTGAGGTCTTTTGTTTTCAGGGGCGACGGAGGAGAAAGACCCGGTGGTCCAACACTCGAACACGAAGGCGCAAAAAGAATGGTTCTGGTGATGACAATGAAAGCGAGTCAAGCGAAGAGGAGAGCGAGGAGGACGACAGTGATGAGAGCTTTAAGGTGGAGAAGGGCAAGAGGAGGAGGAGGAACAGAGAGAGGCACAGCGATGACTCTGACACCTCCTCGGATGATGACCTCCCTCCTAACGAAGACCCCTGCAAACACTGCGGCCTCCCCAACCATCCCGAGCTGGTGGGTCCTCATTGAAACTGAATTGACTGGAATTGAAATGGAATTGACCCTAACCCTGGTGGGCTGTAATCATGGTTATACTATATTCATAATATATATCTCCACTGACAGATAAGACTACCATATAATGTGTTCCAGCTAATCCCCCTTCGTGTTTCCCCCACAGATCTTGCTATGTGACTCGTGTGACAGCGGCTACCACACGGCCTGCCTCAGACCCCCTCTCATGATCATCCCAGACGGGGAGTGGTTCTGTCCACCCTGCCAACATGTAAGTAACAACCAGATGGTAAACAATCGGTAGTCGCACTACAGTTTGGATGCTAGCCACATCACTATGTTTTGAATTAATGGCTTGACTATACACTCCCCTACATATTTATTTGGACAGTGAAACTAAAACTTTTAATTTGACTCTATACTCCAGCATTTTGGATTTGAGATCAAATGTTTTATGAGGCAACAGTACAGAATGTCACCTTTTATTTGAGGGTATTTTCATACATGCAGTCAGGTCCATAATTATTGGAACCCTTGATAAATATGAGCAAAAAAAGACTGCATAAAATAAATAATATAAATACTGAGCTACAGTATATTGTATGCTCCAAAAGATTGGGAGAGATTCTGAGAGAGATTTTGTTTAACAAGTAATCAAAAAAAATCTCAAAGATGGGGTTAAAATTATTAGCACCCCTGTTTTCAATGCTCTTGCACCCTCCCCTTGCGAAGATAACGACACAGCCCTTTTTCTTAAATGTTTTATGAGATTAGAGAACACGTTGGGAGGGATCTTAGACCATTCCTCCATACAGAATCTTTCTAGATCCTTGATATCCTTTGTCTGCTCTTATCGACTGCCCTCTTCAATTCAAACCACAGGTTTTCAATGGGGTTCAAAACTGAGATGGCCATTGCAAAATGTTGATTTTGTGGTCAATTAAAATAATATTTGTGGATTATGGGTTATTGACTTGATGGAAGATCCACTTGTGGCCAAGTGTCAGCCTCCTGGCAGAGGCAACCAGGTTTTTGGCAAACATGCCCCAGGACCAGTGGAAGCAAAATAGCTCCATTACATTTAAGTCATTTAGCAGACGTTCTTATCCAGAGCGATTTACAAATTGGTGCATTCAACTTAGGATAGCCAGTGGGACAACCACACCTTTTTTTTTTTGTGGGGGAGGGCGGGGGTAGAAGGATTACTGTTGTGACTCCGCTGTCCTGGCGTCGTGGGGGAGCTTGTTCCACCATTGGGGTGCCAGAGCAGCGAATAGCTTTGACTGGGCTGAGCGGGAACTGTGCTTCCGTAGAGGTAGGGGGGGTAGCAGGCCAGAGGTGGATGAACGTAGTGCCCTCGTTTGGGTGTAGGGTCTGATCAGAGCCTGAAGGTAAGGAGGTGCTGTTCCCCTCACAGCTCCGTAGGCAAGCACCATGGTTTTGTAGTAGATGCAAGCTTCAACTGGAAGCCAGTGGAGTGTGCGGAGGAGCGGGGTGACATGAGAGAACTTGGGAAGGTTGAACACCAGACGGGCTGCAGCGTTGTGGATAAGTTGTAGGGGTTTAATAACATCAAAGATACACCACCATATTTTACCATAAGAATTAGGTACTTTTCTGCATATGCTTCTGTTTTAACGCCAAACCCACCACTGGTGTGCGTGGCTAGAGAGCTCTATTTTCATGCAATCTGACCATAGCACCGGTTCCAATCCAAGTACCAATGCCGTTTATCAAACTCCAGATGGTGCTATGGTCAGATGACACGAAAATCGAGCTCTTTGGCCACGCACATCAGTGGTGGGTTTGGCGTTAAAACAGAAGCATATGCAGAAAAGTACCTCATACCTATGGTAAAATATGGATTATGTGGTGCCCAGTAGAAATGAGTGGGAAATAATTTGTCATTTTGTCACTTTTATTGTAAATAAGAATAGAATATATTTCTGAACACTTCTACATTAATGTGGATGCTACCGTGAGTGCATGAATCGGGAAGAATGATGAGTGACAAAGTTAGAGGCATAAATATCATACCCATCAAAAAATGCTAACCTCCCGTTATTGGTAATGGTGAGAGGTTAGCGTGTTTGGGGGCATGATCTTTGTCACTCATCATTATTCACGATTCATTCATGATTATCTGTAATCATGGTAGCATCCACATTAATGTAGATGTGTTTAGAAACATATTCTATTCTTATTTACAATAAAAGTGACTCCAAAATGACAAAACAAACTACAAATGCATCCAACAAGTATGTATTGTCACCTTCCAACAGGACAACAATGTAAACATTGCGTGTTAGGAATATGGGACCAAATACTCAACTTTTGAATAAATTTAATACACTATAAGTGAATTTGTCCAAATACTTATGACACCTTCAAATGGGGGGATTAGATACATAAAGTGCTTTAATTTCTAAATGGTCAAACAGAGTGCCTTCAGAAAGTATTCACACCCCTTGACTTTTTCAAAATGTTGTTGTGTTACAGCCTGAATTTAAAATGTATTAAATTGAGATTGTTTGTCACTGACCTACACACAATAACCCATAATGTCAAAGTGGAATTATGTTTTTATTTTTATTTTTTACACATTTATTAAAAATGAAAAGCTGAAATGTCTTCAGTCAATAAGAATTAAACCCCTTTGTTATGGCAAGCCTAAATAAGTTAAGGGGTAAAAAATATGCTTAAGTCGCATAATTAGTTGCATGGACTCTGTGTGCAATAATATGATTTTTTTAAATGACTAGCTCATCTCTGTACCCCACACATACAATTATCTGTAAGGTCCCTCAGTTGAGCAGTGCATTTCAAACACTGATTCAACCACAAAGACCAGGGAGGTTTTCCAATGCAAAGAAAGGCACCTATTGGTAGATTAGTAAAAAAAAAAAAAAGATATTGAATATCCCTTTGAGCATGGTGAGGTTATGCATTACACTTTAGATGGTGTATCAATACACCCAGTCACTACAAATATAGAGGTGTCCTTCCTAACTCAGTTGCCGGAGAGGAAGGAAACCACTCAGGGATTTTACCATGAGGCCGATGGTGACTTTAAAACAGTTGCAGAGTTCAATGGCTGTGATAGGAGAACTGAGGATGGATCAACAACATTGCAGTTACTCCACAATACTAACCTAAATGAGAGTGAAAAGAAGGAAGCATGTACATAATAGAAAATATTCCAAAGCATGCATCCTGTTTGCAACAAGACACTAAAGTAATACCTCACAAAATGTGACAACGCAATTAACTTTTTGTCCTGAATACAAAGTGTTATGTTTGGGGCAAATCCAATACAACACACTACTGAGTACCATATTTTCAAGCATAGCGGTGGCTGCATCATGTTATGGGTATGGGAGGACTGGGGACTTTTTCAGGATAAAAATGAAATGGAGCTAAGCACAGGCAAAATCCTAGGGGAAAACCTGGTTCAGTCTGCTTTCCACCAGACACTGGGAGACATTCACCTTTCAGCAGGACAATAACCTAAAACACAAGGCCAAATCTACACTGGAGTTACTAACCAAGAAGAACATTTAGGTTCCGGACTGGCTGAGTTACAGTTTTGACATAAATCTACTTGAAAATATGTGGCAAGACCTAAAAATAGTTGTCTAGCAATGACCAACATCCAATTTGACAGAGCTTGAAGAATTTTGAAAAGAATAATGGTAAAAGGTTGCACAATCCAGGTGTGAAAAGCTCTTTGACTTACCCAGAAAGACTCACAGCTGTAATCGCTGCCGAAAGGTGCTTCTACAAAGTGTTGACTCAGGGATGTGAATACTTATGTAAAATAGATTTCTGTATTTCATTTTCAAGAAATTTGCAAACAAAAATCTAAAAACATGTTTTCACTGTGTCATTATGGGGTATTGTGTGTAGATGGGTGAGGGAAAAAAATTAAAAATTCTGAAGGTACTGTATGTATGAAAATACTCTCAAATAAAAGGTGGCAAACTGTACTGTCGCCTCATATAAAACATTTGATCTGAAACCCAAAATGCTGGAGTATAGAGCCAAATTAAAAGGTTTAGCTTCACTGTCCAAATAAATATGTAGGGGTGTTCTGTATGTGTGGTGTTCTGTCATTCTTACCCCTCTCTCCTGGTGACCCCCTGCAGAAGCTACTCTGTGACAAGCTTGAGGAGCAGCTTAGTAATCTCGATACTGCCCTGAAAAAGAGGGATCGCGCTGAGCGAAGGTGAGAACCTCTGAACCATGACCCTTGGTGTAAAACAGCAAATGACAACCGGAAGATAATGTAGCTCTTGGGTCTAGAAATATAAATTTAGTTGGGTTATTATTAAAGAATATGAGGCTCAGTCCACAACACATGCAATTGGAGTCTACACTGAATTGCATTGAGCTTGTTGTATTGTCGAACCAATCACCCTGATCTGTGTATCCATCTCAAACATTTAATGGAGCTTACATTGCTTCAACATTTCTTGTTGTACAATGGTCGTGGGCCTCTTTGATAATGGGAAAGCAGTTTTTTTTTATTCTATCAAAAGTTGTTTTAAATTAAATTATTGTATTTTCTCTCTCCAGAAAAGAACGTTTGGTCTATGTTGGAATAAGTGTTGAAAACATCATCACTCCCTCTGTAAGTAGCATTTGATTGTTATGGTTATACCGTCATGAAAGTCAATTGCAACACATCCAGAATTCAGTGTGTTTGTTGGACATCCTTGTAAAATGGTCTGTCACACCGTTCACTGCCTAGCCTAGACTTATTGCTTCCTATAGTGTACTGACACATTGCCAACTCTCATTTCAGTTGGAGGTAGAGGAAGAAAAGGAGGAAGAAGTGGTGAAGAAGGAGAAAAAAGAGAAGAAAGAGAAAAGCAAGAGCTTGGGTCGAAGGTCGACAAGGGCAAAGAAAAGCATAAGTTACAGGTATGAACTCTGTACTAAACTCATGGTTATGAAAAAATTGTATGTGTGGCTGGTCTTTATTTATTGTTTCAATATGGTGGCTGTTAAGTCCCTGAATAATTTCAACGTCTTGTTTGCAGGTTTGATGAATTTGATGAGGCTATCGAGGAGGCAATTGAAGAAGACATCAGAGAGGCTGATGGTGGAGGTACAGTTGGAGGACATTATGGAATCTGGCAACAGTCACAGAATTATGAATTTAATTCAATGTCTCTTAGTTTTATTGATGTTCTGAAATTATTTCTGTCTGCAGCATTTCACCTGTGCACCCCTGGTAATTGTGCACTGTTCAAGCTTTAAAAGGGTTATGAAGGGTCAAGTCTGAGGCTGCGTTTCATTTTAGATTCGTTGAGAGTGAACGAGGGCAAAGGAGGGAACATCTACCCTGAATGAAACAGCCTCAGCCTTTTAACTCATGTAGAATTGCTTTAAGATGGTCATACTATGGATCATTTTAGCTATTTGATTTGGAATTTTAGGACCCCTTCAGGTATAAAATATATATATATATATATATATATATATATATATATATATATATATATATATATAAAACATTTGACTAAAGCCAATAGAAACGCATTGAATAACACATTCATGAATGGCAAACAGGACAGTAAAAAAATGTATCATAAGAAACAAGGTTTTGAAGTGTCTGTCCTAAATCTAGGAGATATAAAAAAAAACTCAGGGAATATATACAGTGCATTCGGAAAGTATTCAGACCCCTTGACTTTTCCCACATTTTGTTACGTTAAAGCCTTATTATAAAATGTATATAAAAAATCCCTTATCAATCTACACACAATACCCCATAATGACAAAGTGAAAATAGGTTTTTAGACATTTTTGCAAACAGAGAAATTATTTACATAAGTATTCAGACCCTTTGCTATGAGACTCGAAATTCAGCTCAGGTGCGTCCTGTTTCCATTGATCATCCTTGAGATGTTTCTACAACTTGATTGGTGTCCACCTGTGGTAAATTCAATTGATTGGACATTATTTGGAAAGGCACACACCTGTCTATATAAGGCCCCACAGTTGACAGTGCATATCAGAGAAAAAACCAAGCCATGAGGTCGAAGGAATTGTCCGTAGAGCTCCGAGATAGGATTGTGTCGAGGCACGGATCTGGGGAATGGTACCAAAAAGCTTTTGCAGCATTGAAGGTCCCCAAGAACAGTAGCCTCCATCATTCTTAAATGGAAGATGTTTGGAACCACCAACACTCTTCCTAGAACTGGCCGCCCGGTCAAACTGAGCAATCGGGGGATAAGGGCCCGAAGGTCACTCTGACAGAGCTCCAGAGTTCCACTGTGGAGTTGGGAGAATCTTCCAGAAGGACAACCATCTCTGCAACAAGTCTCTGAATGTCATTGAGTGGCCCACCCAGAGCCCGGACTTGAACCCGATCGAACATCTCTGGAGAGACCTGAAAATAGCTGTGCAGCGAAGCTCCCCATCCAACCTGACAGAGCTTGAGAAGAAAGGGAGAAACTCCCCAAATACAGGTGTGCCAAGCTTGTAGCGTCATACCCAAGAAGACTCGAGGCTGTAATCTCTGCCAAAGGTGCTTCAACAAAGTACTGAGTGAAGGGTCTGAATGCTTATGTAAATGTAATATTTCCATTTTTTAAATCTTTAACTTAGCATACATTTCTAAAAACCAGTTTTTACTTTGTCATTATGGGGTATTGTGTGTAGATTCATACTTTCCGAATGCACTATGTGTGTGTGTGTGTGTAATATATATATATATATATATATATATATATATATATATATATATATATATATATATAATTTCAGTGAGGGGGAAAAAAGTATTTGATCCCATGCTGATTTTGTACGTTTGCCCACTGACAAAGACATGATCAGTCTATCATTTTAATGGTAGGTTTATTTGAATCGTGAGAGACAGAATAACAACAAAAAAAATCCAGAAAAACACATGTCAAAAATGTTATAAATTGATTTGCATTTTAATGAGGGAAATAAGTATTCGACCCCTCTGCAAAACATGACTTAGTACTTGGTGGCAAAACCCTTGTTGGCAATCACAGAGGTCAGACGTTTCTTGTAGTTGGCCACCAGGTTTGCACACATCTCAGGAGGGATTTTGTCCCACTCCTCTTTGCAGATCTTCTCCAAGTCATTAAGGTTACGAGGCTGACGTTTGGCAACTCGAACCTTCAGCTCCCTCCACAGATTTTCTATGGGATTAAGGTCTGGAGACTGGCTAGGCCACTCCAGGACCTTAATGTGCTTCTTCTTTAGCCACTCCTTTGTTGCCTTGGCCATGTGTTTTAGGTCATTGTCATGCTGGAATACCCATCCACGACCCATTTTCAATGCCCTGGCTGAGGGAAGGAGGTTCTTACCCAAGATTTGACGGTACATGGCCCTGTCCATCGTCCCTTTGATGCGGTGAAGTTGTCCTGTCCCCTTAGCAGAAAAACACCCCCAAAGCATAATGTTTCCACCTCCATGTTTGACGGTGGGGATGGTGTTCTTGGGGTCATAGGCAGCATTCCTCCTCCTCCAAACACGGCGAGTTGAGTTGATGCCAAAGAGCTCGGTTTTGGTCTCATCTGACCACAACACTTTCACCCAGTTCTCCTCTGTATCATTCAGATGTTCGTTGGCAAACTTCAGACGGGCCTGTATATGTGCTTTCTTGAGCAGGGGACCTTGCCGGCGCTGCAGGATTTCAGTCCTTCACGGCGTAGTGTGTTACCAATTGTTTTCTTGGTGACTATGGTCCCAGCTGCCTTGAGATCATTGACAAGATCCTCCCGTGTAGTTCTGGGCTGATTCCTCACCGTTCTCATGATCATTGCAACTCCACAAGGTGAGATCTTGCATGGAGCCCCAGGCCGAGGGAGATTGACAGGTCTTTTGTGTTTCTTCCATTTGCGAATAATCGCACCAACTGTTGTCACCTTCTCACCAAGCTGCTTGGCGATGGTCTTGTAGCCCATTCCAGCCTTGTGTAGGTCTACAATCTTGTCCCTGACATCCTTGGAGAGCTCTTTGGTCTTGGCAATGGTGGAGAGTTTGGAATCTGATTGATTGATTGCTTCTGTGGACAGGTGTCTTTTATACAGGTAACAAACTGAGATTAGGAGCACTCCATTTAAGAGTGTGCTCCTAATCTCAGCTCGTTACCTGTATAAAAGACACCTGGGAGACAGAATTCTTTCTGATTGAGAGGGGGTCAAATACTTATTTCCCTCATTAAAATGCAAATCAATTTATAACATTTTTGACATGCGTTTTTCTGGATTATTTTGTTGTTATTCTGTCTCTCACTGTTCAAATAAACCTACCATTAAAATTATAGACTGATCATTTCTTTGTCAGTGGGCAAACGTACAAAATCAGTTCCCACATATGCTGAGCACTTGTTGGCTGCTTTTCCTTCACTCTGCCGTCCGACTCATCCCAAACCATCTCAACTGGGTTGAGGTCGGCTGATTGTGGAGGCCAGGTCATTTGATGCAGCACTCCATCACTCTCCTTGTTGGTCAAATAGCCCTTACACAGCCTGGAGGTGTGTTTTAGGTCATTGTCCTGTTGAAAAACAAATTATAGTCCCACTAATCGCAAACCAGATGGGATGGCTTATCGCTGCAGAATGATGTGGTAGCCATGCTGGTTAAGTGTGCCTTGAATTCTAATTAAATCACAGACAGTGTCACCATCAAAGCACCCCCACACCATAACACCACCTCCTCCATGCTTTATGTTGGAAAATACACATGCAGAGATCATCCGTTTACCCACACCGCGTCTCACAAAGACACGGCGGTTGGAACCAAAAATCTCAAATTTGGACTCCAGACCAAAGTTTGTTTCTTGGCCCAAGCAGGTCTCTTCTTCTTATTGGTGTCCTATAGTAGTTGTTTCTTTGCAGCAATTTGACCATGAAGGCCTGATTCACACAGTCCCATCTGAACAGTTGATGTTGAGATGTGTCTGTGACTTGAACTCTGTGAAGCATTTATTTGGGCTGCAATTTCTGAGGCTGGTAACTCTAATGAACTTATCCTCTGCAACAGAGGTAATTCTGGGTCTTCCATTCCTATGGCGGTCCTCATGAGAGCCAGTTTCATCATAGCGCTTGATGGTTTTGCAACTGCACTTGAAGAAACTTTCAAAGTTCTTGAAATGTTCCGTATTGACTGACATTCATGTCTTAAAGTAATGATGGACTGTAGTTTCTCTTTGCTTATTTGAGCTGTTTCTTTTACTAAATAGGGCTATCGTCTGTATACCTCCCCTACCTTGTCACAACACAACTGATTGGCTCAAACGCATTAAGAAGGAAGAAATTCCACAAATTAACTTTTAAGAAGGCACACCGGTTAATTGAAATGCATTCCAGGTGACTACTTCATGAAGCTGGTTGAGAGAATGCCAAGAGTGTGCAAAGATGTCAGCAAGGCAAAGGGTGGCTATTTGAAGAATCTCAAATATAAAATATATTTTGATTTGTTTAACACTTATTTGGTCACTACATGATTCCATATGTGTTATTTCACAACGCAATAGGCTGAGAGAGGCTGGAATGAGAGCTTGTAGGCCTGTTGTAACGCAGGTCCTCACCAGACATCACCGTTAACAACGTCGCCTATGGGCACAAACCCACCGTCGCTGGACCAGACAGGACTGGCAAAAGGTGCTCTTCACTGACGAGTCGCGGTTTAGTCTCACCAGGGGTCATGGTCGGATTCGCGTTTATTGTCAAAGGAATGAGTGTTAGCCCGGATCTCAATCCCATTGAGCACGTCTGGGACCTGTTGGATCGGAGGGTGTGGGCTAGGGCCATCCCCCACAGAAATGTCCAGGAACTTGCAGGTGCCTTGGTGGAAGAGTGGGGTAACATCTCACAGCAAGAACTGGCAAATCTGGTGCAGTCCATGAGGTGGAGATGCACTGCAGTACTTAATGCAGCTGATGGCCACACCAGATACTGACTGTTACTTTAGATTTTGACCCCCCCTTTGTTCAGGGACACATTATTCCATTTCTGTTAGTCACATGTCTGTGGAACTTGTTCAGTTAATGTATGTCTCAGTTGTTGAATCTTGTTGTGTTCATACAAATATTTACACTGAAAATAAACGCAGTTGACAGTGAGAGGACCTTTCTGAGTTTATATATATCCTTTTTTTTACACATATTTAATCCCTTTTTATGGGGTCGGCACAAAACTACCTTCATACTTCCATTCGTTTTTTAAAACCGGTAACAGTTACATTCAGACAAGTCCCGTGACACTTTGTGGGGGTCGT